CGGTCGTCCGATCGGGGTAGGGCAAGCTCGCGACCGTGGTTGAGATACGCGGGCGTGTAGCCGGTGGTCTCCTGGCGTGCGGTGTTATACGCGTACTGTAACGGGAACAGGTGCTCGTCCCATCTCCGGTGATTTTTGCCCACGTACATGCTGATCATTGTCTTGAGCGTCCGGTTCGTGCGCTCGACCGGGTTGCAGTGTGGGGCTCGGACTGGTGTGGTTCGGTGGCGGATTCCGAACGCCTTAAAGAGCTCCGCTAGTTGCGTGGATTTTAGCTGGGTCCCGTTGTCGGAAATGATTTGATCCGGGCAGCCGTGTCGATATATTACATCCTCGGCGATAGCGCGGGTGACTGCTGGCGCGGTGGCTCGGCGCAGCGGTCGTAGTTCCACCCACTTAGTGAAACGGTCCTGCATCACTAGCAGCCATGCGTGTCCCTGCGTTGACCGGGGGAGCGGTCCGATCAGATCTAAGGTGACCTGCTGCCACGGCGCTGTGACCGGCGCGGTGTGCAGGTTCCCGGCCGGTTTCCTGGTTGGTGCCTTGTGTGCCAGACAAGTGGGGCAGTGCCGTACGTACCGAGTGATGTCTTGGAACATCCCCGGCCAAAAATATAGCCTGGCCATGCGTGCGATGGTTTTGGCCACTCCCAGGTGCCCCGCGGTCGGGTCATCGTGGTGTCGGCGCAGGAGCTCTCGCCGCTCTTCCCGTGGGACGCACCTTTTCCACTGGTCGTGTGGATCGACCTCCCGGAAATCTACCTCATGGAGGACGTGTCGATATAGCCGCCCCCTGTCCAGTCGATAATCCGGGTAATCGGTCGGTTGGCGTTGTAGGCCCGTGATGATACGGTGGTACCATCCACACTTCGAGGTACTGCAGACCTCCGGCTGGCGTGATAGCGCGTCCGCGACCTTGTTGGCACTGCCCTTCCGGTACCGGATGTCGAATTCATATTGCTGGAGCTCGAACATCCACCGCCCCAGTCGGCCCCCCGGTTCTTCCAAGTGCTGTAGCCATCGCAATGACTGGTGGTCGGTCACGACAGTGAATCGATACCCCTCTAGGTATCCGCGCATCTTGCGAATGGCCCAGACCACGGCCAAGCATTCCAGCTCGGTGGCACTATAATTCTTTTCTGCCCCCTGTAGTGTGCGGCTAGCATAGGCGATTACTCGTTCTCCGTCTTCCAGATGTTGAGTGAGGACGGCCCCGAGTCCGTTTGCGCTGGCGTCGGTCTGGAGGACGAACCGGCGGCCGAAGTCGGGGCAGGCCAGCACCGGTGCGG